AACGGTTCGTCACAGTCCGGTCCCGAAGACACGCCAGAGACGGGTACCTATCCATCGTGGAGGGGTACAAGTTTTGGGTCACGCCTTGAGCAGTCGCTTGCCTGGTGGGAAGAGGCGACTGCGAGGATGCATTTGAGAAGGTGCTCGGTATCAAGGCACCTGCCAATACCGAGCAAACAATCTGGAACGCGGGGTCATCTGTAAATTGAACAATATTTGTTGGAAGCTGGCAAAAGGGAAAGGCCTACTGCATTTGCAGCTTCTTCTTGATCAGGGACACTCATGATTTCCCCGAGATCCAACCCCTTACCACCTTTACCCGTACGTTCATCATCGTCAACAGTCTTTTCCACTCCCTCCAAAAGATCACCTAGCCCCTCAAACTCTCTTCTTTTTCCGCGTTTTTTTTCCATACTTCCACACCTCTAAACTTGCTTGTCGTTTCCTTCTCTTTTCGGAATCCGCCACGCAAACAAACATTACCATCACATATTACAATTATCCTTCTGTCTCCGCACATTGCCTGACCCCAGCAGCTTCACTCATTGCCGCCCGCCTCGTTCCGCTTTGCCAAAGCCTTAGCCTTTTTCTCGAGACGCTTGCTCTTCTTGGCAAGCCTCTTCAGCTCACGGTCCGTATGCTCCCTGACATACGCTGACTCCCTAGCCAGGCTCTTGAGCTTCCTGGCAAGCTTTGTTGCCTTTCTCCACTCCTTATTGGCGTTTATGCTGGTACCTGCAGCCGCCGAGAGGGGGGCAGGAATGACACAAGGGACAGCAGAACCAGGCTCAGGAACAGGGGCCGGAGCAGCAGCGGCCTCAACGGCCTGGGGAGCTGTGCCTTTATCCTGGCGAGCTGTGGGTGGAGCTGGAGTGACAGGTTCTTGGGGCTCCGAGAAACGAGGAGCAGGATCGGGTGCGGGAACCGCCGAAGCGCGAGCCGCGGGATCCTGCGGAGGAGCGACTGCAAAGGAAAGAGCCCGGGAAGCACTGAAAGGAGGAGCCCGGGGGGCATTGCTAGCTCCGGACCGATGTCTTCCAGTCTCAAAATTGTCGACAGCTTGACGAGTCTGTTGCTGCTGCTGCTGCTGCTGTTGTTGAATTAGCAGCAATGCATGTGCCGGGATGACTGGTACTAGGATTGGAGTGATGGTCTGGGCAGGAACGCTGGCCGGTTGGCTCCTCGCCGGTGTGCGAGCCGGGGTTCTTCCCTGACTGCGACGAGGTGATCGACTCGGAGCTTCTGCGGCTGCGGTAAGACTTTGTCGGACGAGACCAATGTCCTTGGTGGCCCTGGATGGCTGCCGACGACGAATTGGCGAACTAGCAGGTTGTTGCTGTTGAGGACGCACGGTTGCAAAAGGGAGTTGCTGACCAGCAGGAGGAGAGTATCTCTCTTGCTTGATCAGTACAGGGAACGAACGATCGGGTTGGCGGATGACCTGGCCAGGCGCAGTGCTAGGCTGGTCTTCTGTACGCGGCACTTCCTCGCCGGAATCTTTGTCTAATGCCTCTTCTTCGCTGGAGCGGTTGCCCTCCTCTTCAAGCTTTGTGTCCTCGCCAGCAGCAGCATGTCTTGCCTTCTGGGCAGCAACAGCACGGTCCGCCTCAATCTTCAACCTCTCCGCACATCCTGTTGCGACGTTCAATCTGTCAACACGTCCTGCGTGAATCGCCAACCTCTCGGCACGTTCTTCCTCACTCAGTCCTCGCAGGTCGAGAATGCCCAAATCCCGCTTGTCCAGAAAGACCGCACACACATCGGTTCCTGTCTTTCAAATCTGGTTGAGGATCCGGACACACTCATTGTGCAATGGGGCAGAGCAGCCATCACAACGGGTGTCGTGTGCTTCATTCCTGAAGCATATTAGGCAGAGTCCAGGTAAACGACGATACGGCTCCGGCCAAGCTACAGACTTGACAAGATGAGAGCGCTTATAGATATCGTCCCATTCGCTTGCCAAAAATGACCTCTGCCAACGGAGTGGCTCCGGGACGTTTAGAATGTAGCGAAGCATGTCTGAGAAGAGCTGTTAGTTTCTAACCTCAGGGAGAGATGGAGGATAACGAACATATGGTATGAACACAAACAGTCCTAGAGGCCTGTGGGTGGGTCTGGTTAGCAGAAACTTCCCTAACAAGGTGAATACAGAAAGGAAAGGATGATGAGAGGGTGGTCTTACCAGATAATGCTCGCAGACACATGCCGGACGGGTTTTGAAGACAACTGATATATCGTCAGGGCCTCCGTCCTCGCTGAGTAAGAACCCGACTGTTCTGTCGCCCAAATGTTGAATTCGGGCAACCTGAAAAGTGGCCTCTTTAGCCTGAGATCGGAGGTCTTCGTAGCGGAGCAAGAAATAGCGAACTCAGGGATCACATCGCTGCTCCCCGGTGTGAGTTTCGCGGTAGTGTTCTAGACGCTGGACGAGATCCTTCTACGTTTCGAAGTTGAACAGGTTCCGTTTATTACATTGCCCCTTCAAGATATTGACATGGTACTTGGACCACGGGCGTCTTCGGGCAAGTACTTCCTCATGGATCCTGGAGGTGGCATTGCTGCTTCATCTGGCTGGAGTGTTCCTTGGGATGTAATAGTTTGATGGGTGTGGGGAAAGGTTTCGTGGTCGAGCAAGTAGTGACTTGAGGCGACGGAAAAGCAGGCTAAATTCTGGGCACCTTTGCAAGCGCCAGGCTTTGGAGTGTTGCTTCATGATCCGAAAGTTATGGAAGCTCGAGGAAAATTTCACGCCAATTTTTGTGCGCGGCGGGACAAACCCCTCGGAAGACACTAGACATCCGGGTTGCCAGCTCTCGAAATGTCCAGCTTGCCCATTGCCCCAGGCAACCGGGCTTCGAGAATGTCCGAGAAGCGTCCTGGTCACTCGGCAGCCATGAGTGAATGGTGAAGCGCGCCTTTTCATCCCAACCGCCCAAGCGCTGGTGAATGGTTGCTGGGCACGTGGTAAATGTAGGCATCTGGGCTGGGCTGGACCGGAGTCAACACGAGTGATGCGAAGCCTCAACTGTCATCTCCAGGCTGAATACCATCTGGCCAGTATAGTGGAAGGAGAAGTGTGAGCAAATGAGCAGACGAAAGCCAAAAACAACGTATATTTCATGCTCTCACATATGACACCACTTACACACAATCGCCGCAATATCAACAGGAAATGTAAGCGTTAAAGCAAAAGGAACCAAACAGGGGACCAAAACAGAAACAGAAGAAGAAAAAAAACAAAGCAAGTAAATCCAGGAAACATTGCTCATAATCACCTCCCCACAGGCTAATTCCCCTCTCACACATGGGCGTAAAAAAAAGACAAGAAACCAAACAAGCATGGAACGACAGATCAATCCAAAGAACGCAAAACACTGCTCTCCCCCCAATCCACAAGACTTCCTCTCCTTCTCAAAAACATCACAAACCGCTCGCTCGCTCGCTCGCTTACTCAGGCCCATCCCATCTTCCAAAATGACCCTTCTATATCGTTTTGTGAATGCCCTCTTCCTTCTTACCCTTTTCTCCGTCTCCCGAATATCCTGGATCCTCTTTTCAACCCTCTTAATATCTCAGCTTTTCTTCTGGGCTTCTTTGCGGTAATAATCTCTATCCCACTTCAGATTATCCAACTTCCTATCAAGCCGCTTGAGTTGTATTTCCAGCTTGGTAGCGTTTCTGGCCGCACTTCCCTTGTCCTTGTTGTTATTGTTGTCGCTACTGAGAGTAGTGGTGGTCGTGGCGGTAGAAGTGCTGAAGAGAGAGGAAGAGGAGACAGGGGAGTGAAGACCGTTAGAGATACCACGACCAGCAGCAAAACTGGCGGCATTGGCTTTGACAGCCTGAGAAGCAACATTCATAAACGGAGGAGGCAAGACACTGTCTAACCTCCTACTGACCGCCGCCGGCGGACCAAGGTCACTCCAAAGTTCGTCAACCCTAAGACGCTTGGCAGGAGACTTTTGGATCTGGTTTGCTGCTGATGCGCTATCTGCCACTAGCAGTGTAGGGCCAGGGAGTACCGAGACTCTCCTAGTGGCAATGGCAGGGCGAACGGCTCGCACCTGCGCCTGGGTCTTCTGCATTGTTCGCTGTTCCTGGCTCGCTTTCTGTTGCCGTTGTTGTTGAGCCTGTCCTTGACGTTGCTCATTTTGTTTAAGTTGTTGTTCTTGCCTTTCTCGCGCCTGCTTCTATCTCTCCAGCCAAATTTGTGCCGGGTTCCCCGGGAGCGGTGTTGATGTGCATCTTTGTGGTGCTGCGCTCTGCGGCTCCTGCGGGGCCGTTCTTTGCTGCATGGAGTTGGATGATGCAGCCTCCACCGATGGTTGAATAGCATCAGTGACCAAACGGTGCGATCCGGGGGATGCCTTGATGCTGACGGGAACGAGGCCGGAGGTGGGGACGGGCTCGGGAATGGCGACGGCTGGCGAGACCTGGGGTCGTTCAAAATGCTTCTCGAGGGCCAAGGCGGCAGGGTACCTACAGAAAGGGCATTGAACCGTTTGCACGGGATCTTGATTTATTCCCTCTTTGTATAGTTGGATGCAAGGTGGATGCATTGGCATTGCACACGTATGACAAGGGACATTCTGCTGGTGTGTCTCATGCACAGCAAAACACCTAACGCATCCCTTTCCTTGACGGTAGAGATGTGGTTTGGCACGAATACGGAATGGGCGGCTGTGCTTGTAAATGTATTCGAGCTCGGAGGTCAGGAACGCTTTTTGCCACACAAGAGGCTCGGGGCAGTTGAGAACATTGCGGAGGAGATCTGTGTGTATAAGTATCATGATTAGTCTTTGCCTTTAAAGAACAGCTAAGGTGTAGCGAACAGCCTATGACGAACATTCAATATGGATGCAGTGATGAGCTCAATAACGATGTCCCTATGTAAGCTATGTCAGCAGGCAAGCAGGGAGTCTCGGTTTGGTTTAAGCATCCAAGTCAAATGCAAGCCGGATCTACTCACCTGACACGAGCAGTAGGTTTATTGTTGAAGTAAACAGGGACATTCGAAAACCCGCCAAAGGGCCGAGGGTGACCGAATATAAAGACCATGGTGAAGCCACCGCGAGAGTTGCTCACGTAGTAAACACCTCGAATAGGAAGTGGTTGTTTTCCGGAACGTTTGTAGTCCGTCTCGTCGGGGCCCGAAGGGTTGACCCGCCAAGAAGTTTGTCTGACCTCGGTGATATTGGCTTGCTGATAGTTTAATAGTCGCTGCTGAAGGGCGGACTGGGAACCGTCAACGGGAAGTTTCCGTCTCGCACATTTCTTGATCAACGCATCTTTCTTGATCTTCCGCCAAGGGGCGTCATCGGGTAACCAGTCTGCGGTGATGCGTTCCATGGACAGGTGTAGCTTCAACTTTGGCTGGACAGCCAATGATGGATGAGGTGGGTTAATAGGCCGGGTGCTGAAGATGGAAAAACGCCAACAGCTTAAGAAGGTGCGACGGTGGTGAGGTTGGGGATGGAGGCATGCATGCAGGGTACATTTGCGAGCGGGGAAGCCAGAAAACACGTGGGAGGCAAACGGACGGTTCATTCCGGAGTATTTCGGAATCGGGTCTTGGAACCCAAGAAGAGCCTCAACTTGAACATATGTAATACATATGTGAAAACAGAAAATGTTGATCTGGCTTGAGTAGACCATCTCTGACACCAGGAGACCGCCGGCTACTCGCCGAATCTGAGGGTACAGCGTGCTATCAGACGAGTCTAGACCTCCAGGCTACTCTCTCTGAAGTAGCTTTGGAAACCTATGACGGACCACGAAGAAATGGAAGCAGAACGGAAGTCAGCCCTCGAGCGGCTATCAGCCGAATATGCTAACGAGAGGACACTTCCTCGAGGCTATGGTACTTGCCACTCCCCTCCTCCCGGAGGTCACGACAGACCGGGGGGAGGCAGAAGTCAAACCACGAGCGGCCATCAGTCAGAAAGGTTCGCCACAAGACTATGGCACTCCCACTCCATCATCGGGAGACTAATGACAGAACACGAATGAACAGAAGTTAATCCACTCAACTCACAGATGAGTATCAGCCCAAGAGGTAGGCAAGACTCTGACTCGAGGCAATGGTGCGTGATGTGACACTTGCCCCTCCCAACGTCCCGAAACTCGACACTCATGACAGACCACGAAGAGGCAGAAGTCAAACCACCAGCGGTCATCAGTCAGACAAGTAGACAAGGCAAGTCTCCGCCTCAAGGTCGGCCTCATGTGAGATGGACACTTGCCACTCCCCTCTTCCCAGAGATTGAACTAGCGAGGCTGAAGACCACAAAGAAGCAGAACTCAAGCCAATAGCCGGATGGCAACACGTCGGAAAGAAAGATGAGGCTCTGCAGAGCCTCGAGGCTACGCTTTTCAACAGGGGCACTTACCACTCCAAACAACTCTTCCCAGACCAGACACTAACACACACATTGTGTTGTGCACGGCCAAGCATAATTCAAAGCACTTGACCACGGGTAACGGATCAGGACCAGTTCAAGAGGTAGACAAACCTTCTGTTCTTCTGCCTCGAGACCAGGGTGCGTGATGTGGCACTTGCAAGTAGCGAAGAGGCAAGAATCAAACCACGACCGGCCTTCAGTCTAATAGGTGGACAAGACCAGACTTCTACCACGAGGCTTTCCTCCGCGATATGGCACTTGCCACTCCCATCTCTCCCAAGGAGTCCCAAAGCTCACGACTTACCTACAGACCACGAAGAAGCAGAACCCAGACCATGATTAGACGTCCATCCATTCGTCAAAAAGCCAAATAAGGTTCCGCCTCAAGGCTACGGTAACCTCCGCGACAACTCCATTGGCGCTTACCACTCGACTCCATCCTCCTTAAGCAAGCATATGATTAACGACAAGAGCACCGACACTCAAACGTCAGACCATGCACCATAATCCCGTGATATCATGATATGGCGCTTGCCGACTAGACGTACATGTAGACACCACTGCGGTCATCATCCACAGGCCATCGGTAATTAGACAAAGAAGGGGCGAGCAACGGTATCTTGTCATGCTAAACAAGAGGGAATGAAGACGAAAGCCAAACACACGCAAAGCTGTCCCAGAAACTTCACAAGCCTCAAGCAAGCAAGCAAACAAACAAAGACCAAGCAAGTCAAAGCAACAAAACAGACTAGGTTTGACATGTTATCTCAAAAAATGTTTCTCTCTCTTTTTGGACGCCTGCCAAGTGTAAGTAGAAGTATAGAGTGTACTGTGTAGGTGATTCAGGCAAACAACCAGCCAGTCATTAACAGCCAGAGCACTTCATCCGCTCGTTCGTTCGTACATCTTCAACGCCCTTCCGAGCATCGCTCGCTATCCATCGGTTGTCATGTCGGACCTTGAATAATGGTATCACTTCCGAATCTTCCTTTCCAACGAGGACCACAGCTGGTAAAGCATAGAGGTACGTATGTTTACCACCCAAGCATAGAATGCGCCCTAATACCCTTGGGTCCCAATTCACTATTTTTTTGCCTCTCGTTAGCATCATTCTTTCCCTCTCATCACTGTCGTCTTCCCAGTAGTCACAAGGAGGGAGAAACTTACTTAAAATCAACCCTACTCAAGCTCATATACCTCTGCATCTCCAACCCCTGCGCATCAAAATTATGTATGCAAAACGCCATCCTCGCCGCCACCTGGGCACCAAGGAACATGGCCTCTTCGAACCCGTTCTTGGTCCACTCGCTCAGATATGTCGGCAGCTGCGCGAGCTTGATATTCGTCGGCGTCTGGCTGTGGAAGTGATGTTGGCCTTGCTGGCCTTCGCCTCCTTGGGTGCCGGGTACGTTTAGGTTAGCATTTGCAGCGGCTGTGGTGGCAGCTTGTAGTAGCGAGCCAGACTGCGCACCACCGGGACCGCTAGCGATAGGCGTTCCCGGACCGGGTGTTCCGGCCGTGGGTGTGCCGATGTTGGAGGGCAACTCTGATGTAAACATCGTTGCACTTGACGGAGAGATGAGGTGGCGGGCTTGCAAGGTCTGGAGAATGTTTTCTTTCAATCCGCGGATGCGGGCGCCGTTGCCGACGAAGACGAGCGATTCCCAGCAAGGGGGGCGCATGTACATGTCGTCGATGGACTGGACGGCGTTGTAGATGGTGGTGACGATGCGGTCGATCTCGGCACGGTCGGCGAACTCGAAGCGCTCGAGGCCGACTTCGATGTCACGACGGATGCGCTTGGTTTGGCGCTCGGTGGGGACGGGGCCTTCTGGTGCGGGAGCGGCAGCGGGCTCGGCGGGCTTCGGTGCATCGGTGGGCTTGGGCGCTTCTGTGGTGGGTGCTGCTGTTGCGGATTCGGAGGATGGTCTGTCTTCGGGCTTCTTGTCGTCCGTAGCAGGAGCGTCGGGTTTTTGTTCCTCGGTCTTGGCTTCATCCTTCTTCTCGCCATCCTTCTTTTCCTCGTCCTTCTTCTCCGCCCCCTCCGCCGGTGGTGCCGCAGGCGCATCAGCCATCTCAACGTCCTTAGCCGCTTCAGTTGCCGCTAGTGCTGCCGGCGCAGGTGCCGGTGCTGGTGGAGCAGGTTGAACAATAGGAACCTCCTCAGTAACATACTCCTCAAAGTGAAACACATTATTCACCCTCTTGGAGTTTGGCAGTCTCATAACCCTATTCGCCTCAGCCTCCTTATCCTTGCCCTTCTTCTTGGCCCTCTCCTGCTTCTCCTTCTCCTTCTTGGCCAAGAACTCCCTCGTCTGTCCTGTAGCCACGATATTCGCAACGTCGAGCACGCCCTCATCGTCCACCAGGTTTCCGTCAGCGTCGTAGGTAGGTTCGTCAGCAACGACCGGCTCGATAATCTTGGGTCCTTCTGTCGTCGTGCCCGCAGCTGCTTGGGCGGCGGCGGCTCCGGTAGCAGCAGCCACAGCAGTGGAGACATCCTCAGTAGGGAGGTCCATGAGCTTGGGCTTCTCCGGCGCATAAGGCAGGACTTCGCAGATGTTACTCTTCTTCAGTTGCTCGGCCATGTCGCGGTTGAAGCCCTTGATCTTATCCTTCAGCAACTGCTGCAGTTTCCGTGTGAAGACCTCTCCACCGCTGATTTCTCTTTCCTCATCTGTGCTGTTGTTTCCTGGCCACCCGGCGCCAACATCCCGATGCGCCACAATCCTGCTGTCGTAGATGCACGTCACGTCAACCTTCTCGAAACCGATATCGACGACTGTCATGTTGGGCCACTTGAGGCCGTACTGGGTCGCGATGGCGGAGTTGATCAGACACAGGGCGGGTGTCTTGGTCTTTTCAAAGATGTATCTGGCAAGAGTTTCGCAGTCTGGACGTGTCCATTGCGGCGAGGCCATGAGCATTATGGGGGTGTTGTGGTAGGTGGTGGTTAGGCTGGAGTGGACGTGTTCGAGGAAGGCGAGGAAGGCATCCATTACGACGATGTGGCCGCCTGTTTTGTTTTTCTGTCAGTTCAAGTCCCTTTCCCATTCCCTTTCTCTTCCCTCTATACAATCATCACCAACAGTTGCAAAGCAGCACTCACCCTGAATAGGATAAACAGCCCCCTCATCCGAATCCTGGTCCTCGACATATTCCCACTCGTCTTCTTCTTCCTTCTTTTCCCCATTTCCTTCTGGCTGCTTGGGCTGTTCTTCTGATTTTTGTTCTCCTCCCTCGGCGCCGGCCACAGCAACAGGCACAGAAATCACAGGTAAAGCCGCATCCTTCTTCCGCTTATATGTATGGTAAGGCCTCCATTGACCCGTCTCTTCGTCTCTGAACATGCGCGTCGGAAAACGGTGGGCGGGAGGGGTGAGTTCGCCGCAGCCGAGCTGGGCCATGGTTGTCGAGCTGCCGGGGCAGATGACGAGAACCTGTTCCTCTCGCCATTTGCCTGTTTGGCCTGACATGGCGGCGGTTGATTTATTGTTGACTTTGCCTTAACTGTGCTTTGTGGCGTTGGTTGAAGGGTATCGTCGTACTCGATTGGTATTGCTGCTGTTGTCGTAATGCAAAGTACTTGTGCGATGGCAATAAATGCGTTCTTGGGCCGGTGGGTAATGTTGATATGTCGAGGGAGGGAGTGATGTTCCCGAAGCTGTCGCAAAGTCGCGAAAGTTGACGGAGCTCTCTCGTTGGGCGGCGCGGGCAGCAGCTGTGGGAAACGAGCGAGGTTAACGGGTGGGACGCGCTTCGGTTGCCATTGGCAAGTTGCTCTGGTTGCCTGCCCGCGCTCAGGAATTTTGGGAGCTTGGGACACCTGCCAAGATCGCTTACGTAAGGCTGTTCGTCTTCCGTTAGGCCCCTCAGGCACCACACATCACTAGGTAACATTGACTTTACCCCTGAACGTCGCCAGGGAAACGCCGTGACGGCGATGTCGCTGACGTTGCATGAGGCTATCACCAAGAGGACAGCTCTGGATAATTATTTATGCATGATTCATGAAATTCGATAGCCAAGTCTGGGTGTTTTTCAGGCAAAAGGAATGCTCTCCTGTTAATATTCGTTATCCCCATTGTCCATGCACCTTTGCCTCCCTATTCCCAGCATTGTCATTCCCAGAGTTCCTAAGTGTAGAGTTCCATACCAGATAGGCAACCGGCATCGTTACGCCTCCAAAACATATTCCACCATGAAATCCAAAACCTCCGCCAGCCTAGGCACCCGCCAACCCCCATTCACATACATCTTATCCATCCTCGCCGCCGCATTCGGGTCAATCGCCATGCCCGTCTCCAAGAACACCTTCTCCGCGCCCGTCAACTCCCTATTCTCCGTCTCAAACCACTTCCTCTCGGCCTCCTCTTTAGCCTGCTTCAGGACAAGTTCCGTATTCTCAGCCTCCCACAGATTGCACTTGGTGCACTTCTCACACTTCCTCCCATCGCCCTCGGGCCTAAAGTGATCACAAAAGTGTCTGTAGCCCACGTCTGGGCCGTCCCCATCCCCGCCAATGTCCTTCCGACAAACGTAGCACATTTTGTATCCGCAGGGACAAGTGAGCTTGTTGCAGCCGGCGGTTTTGACGAAGGAGGTGTTGCAGCGGGGACAGACTCGCTTGACGGCCATGCTCATGGCTTGCTCTACTTGGGTGCGCAAGGCGACGAGGGATGACTCATTGCAGACGTGTATGTCAATCCATTCTTTGCTGCACGAGAGACACGAGTTGCGTTGGCACTCAGGGTTTCGGCAGGTGAACTTGGATCCGCGACGACGGCGGTGAAGACGTTCGCGTGCGGCGTGGTATTCCTTAGATAGGGGGATTGCTATTTCCTTCTTGTAGCTTAGTAGGACCGTAACTATTCCAATTATGACTACGAGGGGTAGAAGGAATGGCATGAAGCCGATGCAGAGAACGGCGAATATCAGCTGGAAGGCGCTCTTTCTAGGAGAGTGGTGAGTCAGTGGGGTGGGAGGCTCGTAGATCTCATTGACTTCGGCGTAGGAGCAGAAAGGGCAGCGGACAAGAGGGAGCCCGCTGGCTACGAGACTGTGCTCGGCCAGACGTTGCTCGAACTTGTGCATAATCCCGGCGCCCTTCTTGAACTCAACCATGGCTCGGTGCATCTGTTCTTGCGAGATACACCCTTTGCACCCGCTACCTTCGACGGCCGGGCAACGTAGCGTACCGGTTTCCGTGTTGATGGTTGACTGCCAGCCTTGTCCGAACACAGCTTCCGAGAGGGTATGGTGTACACATCGGAAGCAGATGGTATGGCCGTCAACGTTGCAAGCGACAATCTCCTCGAACGTGGCTTCGGTGAAGCAGCATGAGCATTCAAACATGCTTTCTAGTCGCTCTGCCTCTTTGGTGTTGAGTTCTGCGGCCAAGGTGCGATCCTTGTCTTCCAATTCCTGGCGTGCCTGTTTCAGAATAGGAACGATGAGCGCTTCATATAGCTCCTTATCCAGTTCGGGATTTCCTGTGGTCTTGATACAGGGCACAATAGAACCCCGGCCAGAAGACTTCCAGATGACAAGCGGGTGTGTTGCGGCCTCGGTGCCTGATACAGACTTCCTGCGCAGGAAGAGGGACGAGATGGCAAACCGCCAGGATTTGGACGAAAGGCTGACCAAAGTTGGGCGGGCATCTGGGTACCAGTAATTGTTCTCGGCCAGGACTGCAGTTATTGTTGATTTGGACAATCCTTTGAATTCTTGCCATGCCAGTTTCTCGGCTGCGCTCCTGTATTCCTTGCTCCGAAACCTGTGCCTTGGCGGAATCGAGACGGCAGGCAGGGGCCCTTGCCCTGGTTCAGCACCGGCTGGCACATCGGGGGGCATTTTTCCTTTTCGGCGGCTCTCCAGCGACCCTTGACCCAGGTGACCTTGTTTTGGATGAGAGCGTTGGCGACCAGGGCCAGTCTCGATTCGCCGTCGAAGCTGGAGAGCATCTCGCGGAAGACGTCTATTTGTACGTCGGGGAAGACGGTGGAGAGGGCGTCGAGTGAAGCGTTGAGTTCGTGGAGATCGGGAGCGTCTGGAGGTAACGGCAGTAGGTGCGCCTCGTCCGAGATATACTCCCGGTCGGGCTGAGGAGTGTTGGCATCCCAGCGTGTGCCCGGCATATTTGCGATATGATTCGGCCGACGGACTTGGAAGGTTGCGCGGGGTTCGGTATAACAACGGGGAGGAGTCGTAAGCTTGGGGGGCTTTGCATATGTCTTGTCGCGAGGGTTACCGAATCAGGAGCTATTGGCTTAGTACTGCAGGTCAACAGTGTTGTGGTCAATATCAGGTCCAACCATCGATGATATCCATGGCGCAAGCGCAATCGCGGTCTCGTCGTCGTCGTAGTTGTCGCGTGAATGTAATGTAATGGCTTTGGTGGTATTGTGGATGGTCTCGGTGTCGGTCTCGGTGTCGAATATGGTACCGAGTGGCAGGCTGAACCCTTTCGAGGAGAAGAGGGGTGCAGCGGCTGAGATGTCAGGTCGAGCACTGCAAAAGAAGGGCAATCCAGTGGAAGTTGACATGGAAGTTCCTGCCCTGCCCACGTTAAAGTCTCCTCACATTGTGGGCAGAAGAGGGAAAACTGCAAAAGGACTCTGCGAAATTGAATCCAGTTGCTGTGACTGGAGGGAAAGAGTTGGCCGGGCATCCAATCGCTCCTAGCGTCCCGTCTCCAACGGAAAATGACAGCGACTGCAAAACATTGTCATTGCCTACCATCGTGTCCCGGTTGTGGATATTGCCGGCCCCGAGACGGACCCCCGTATCCGTTGACCCCTAAAACAGGGTGTGGATAGTGGATAGAATTGTTAGTGTGTGACGGGAGCGGGCAATTGGCGGGGCAGCCCGGGACATCAACACCCCACTCGCGGCGTTGCCCCTGGAGGACTGGAGCTGTTGACTTTCCGCCCCGTTTTATTGACTTTGTTGACGTCGCATTTGAGTTTTCCCCTTTTTTTCGACAACTCCGACATCGATCTGGATGGTGGTGAATTGCGCGCGGAACCCGAAACAACACCAACACAAGACTTTCCAAGTTAGAACTAGGGCAATTCAAGATGACATTATGCCATGAACAGTCACGTGCAGATTTAGCCCGACTTGTTTTCCAAAATCATCACCGCCTCCAGTAGCGCAGACCAAAACGGCGGCCACGATCAGGCACGCAGCCAAAAGAGCGGAGGTTACACTGGGCTTGCGGATCCGGCGATACTGCATGTCACTGGCCTTGCACGAGGCTAAAAAGGGCGGAGAGAGGGATGCAGAAGAGGATGCAGAGGATGGGGGCCAGCATCCATGTGAGCTATTCATGGTTCCACCAGACCACCAAGAAAGATGGCGATCAATGAGGATCAGGATCTCTTGTCTGGTCCAGAGAGAACGACACGAGAAAGAGGGGCTACCCGAGCATCTTTCTCTCTGAGAGTACGAGATGGAGGTGATGCTCATGCAGGTCATGGTTGATGGTGTCGTTGAACACCTCCCATTCAGCTACCAATTCCCCTTCTCGTCCACTCGGAACTGACAGCAATGAAAGAAAACCAAATGGTTGGTTCCTCTTCCTCTTTCTGTGAGTAAAACAAAGTCGCAATCCGGATCAGAAAACGGGAGAGCGGACGAACATGATCCCATTCTACAACACAGACAGACAGGACAGACAGGCCTCGGACAAGCTGGCGGCCATCTGGCCATCCACCATGTATGTCTCAACCTTGTGGGATTCCAAGGTGCAGCTGTTGATCCTCTTCGTTCCGATTGGTATCCTTTCCGGTTGGATGCTTTGGGATATTCGGCCGGAGCAGTCTTTCCAGCTGAACTCACCTCTTCCGAACGAACATACGGGTGAGGTTTGAAAGTGACGTTGAGGAATGACGATGAAACCGGGAGAACTACGAGCAACTGAGGAGAAGAGGGGAATAACTACGATTTATTTACCTGAAGCTCTCACCGACTTGTTGCCAGGAAGAACATGAAACGAATGATCACAACCCACCCCAGAGACCGAGTGCATGACATCAAAGAGTCGAGATCAGGCTGATGTAAGCGATGGATTCCGCTCGTCAAGGTGTACGCAAAACTCCTTCGGTGAGAGACAAGAGTGGATGTTGGGATTTTTGATGATGTTCTTGTCCGCCAGTCTGCACAGTCCTCGATCTATCACCGACATCACCGGTCTTATCTTCCAGCCAAGGAAAACGCGTTCGCGTTGGCCACGGGTTAGGGACGCTGTCTGTCTGCCTGTTAGTTGCCAGCTTGTGTAACATGTGGTTCGGCTGGGCCATTATCTTTGTTTGTCGTGAAGCCTTCTCGCCGCCGGGAACGCCTGGGAAACTGGGGGTGGGAATCCGTTTGTTGAACTCGCGGTGAAGCATCCCAGCCAGCTTACCGGGGGATCCTGGTTACGGTAGGATCGGTGTTCCTCTCCACCACGAGGATAGCACACTGTAGCGAAGTGTGGTGTAGCGGTCCCCGCAAACATCACCGTCTCTCAAGTCTCAAGGATGTTGACGGCAGCTTACCTCATCTCACCTGTCACCTCTCGCCGACTTTCTTTGATCAGACAGCCGATGAGCAGACCTGTCGAAAAATGCTCGCTGGAATCCGGCATCGCCATCAATGATTCACTTTTTCCATGTAGAGCGAGCAGCCAGCAACGAGTCGCCGTCACCCGTGTCGGTGATCAGCAACAAATCCGGTCTTTTACAGAGTTCTCACAGGGCTGGAAAGGATGGCTCGCCAACCAAAAGCAATGAAACCCTCCCCTTTCGACCCTCCACCCCTCCCAAACCACCCCCAGAAAGCCACCATATGTACACATCCGACAAGTTGGCCATGGTGGGTACCCTTTTCTAGAAGGCAAACCTGCATGTCAGCAAAGGCTTCCATCGCTACCTTTACAGTAGTGTACGGTAGCATCACTGTCTTGTCCCTGTGTCTGTCCCAGCCCAAGAAAGTGGCAAGATGATACTGTAGGTACTCACGTGCCATTCTGTGCTTTGCAAGCCATCGGGCACTAAACCCAACAGTGCGGGTGGTGGGCGGGCGGGTTCATCGGGACTTGAGAGTCACGGTGTTGCATTCCAATTCACGTCAAAACGTCGGTCAGGGAGAGGAGAAAACAGACGAGGATGAGCATGAGGATGAGAAAGAGATGTTCAAGGTACGTGAGCCACAAGAGGTGTCCTCCCCATGGCATCCACCATCCATCATCTCATCACACTGCCTGTGCTTGAACATCACACATATCGCATCGGCAAGAACCTTGGATCGATCACACACACACATCCGGAATCACACCTCCTCTTTACCCATACCGACCATAAGGTACTCGAAGTTCTTTTTTCCCCCAGTTGTGTGTTTACTCCGCGACTCCGTAATTTCGTTCAACAAAAAGTTGTATATCCTTTCACACCGCCTTCCTACCGCTCATTCTCTCTTCTCTTCCCTTTCTGGGCTGCTGAGTAGGGAGCCTGGGCTGGCTGGGCCTTTGCGTTGCGGCATCAGCAGCACGACTCATCCCTCACACAAAGAACCTGAGCATGTTCTGTTCTTCTCCTGCCCGCCCCCTCGGAATGGCAGGGTAAGGTACCTTTTTTTTCTCTCTCCGTCGTCAAAAAAGGCAGCAATGCCTAGGCCGGGATTCTGAAAGTTTCTTAGTGGACGGCGGGACCCAAGCAACGCCAAAAGGGGTGGGCGTACCTGTGGTGGCTTGCAGCTTTGGTTTGGCTCTCCTAGCCGCTAATGCACCCAAAATGTTGACTCCCCTGTCTTCTCGGATGGACAGGATGGATGGTTGGGATGCCCAGTCAAGGCCCAGCAACCAGAGCCCAGGAATGGTGTCGATTGGTGCCCCAGTGTTCCCCCAGTCCGGGTCCCCCAGTTACGACTGCCCGCCCAGGGGTGGCATGGCGCTGGCATGGATGGCCCAGTATGGATAGGCTGGAATAGGGCTCGACGAATCTGAGGCCGTCCCTTGTCTTAAGCTCACCGACTTTAGGAGCCAAATCTTTCGGTATCAACGACACCACCAGTCCTTTGTTCATGACAGATCGATCCAAACAGAAACCCCATGCAGCTGCAAATAATTCGGAACTACTGTACTCTTGCTAAATAAGGGGTAAATCACTCCCCTTTCCCCCCTTCAGTATCCGTTTTCTATTTTGTCCCCCCAATTCCCACCCCCATGCACTCGTCCGTTGCTGGTCAAAACCCACACCCGAACCGACAACTCGCGACTTGTAAGTGACGATAACCAACACACCCACGCTTGTGTCAGCCGCCCCCAAGCCGCCTGAGCCTCACAACACACACACGCACACATTCCATGACCGCCTTTTCATCAACGCCCTCAACAAGACACATATAACAACATATACCCGTCGAACCGTCTCACTCGACTTGATCCCATCTTGTCTCATCTATCTACGCCAAGTATCAACCATCACATCATACAACAGCCAGCCAAGATGGATACTCTTCCCGCTGAACTGCTCCGGCTCATCTTCGACAACTGCGACCCACCATCGGTACGAGCCCTCCGTCTTACCTCCGGCCGACTAGCCGACGTAGGATACGACTACCTGCTCCCACCATCGTTCCGGGCCGTGGAATGGAAGGACGACGTCCAACGGTTACATTCGATTGCCCACCACGACCGCCTCAACCGGTCCATCAATTCCATCACCTTCAACTTCTCCAAAGCCGAGGAGTACAGCACCATCCGCCCCGATTCCTTTTTCCCCGAAGAGCGGTCCATCCTCCTCCAAGATGTTTTCCAGCACTACAAGCAGGAGGGCAAATCTCACAACCTGCCAGCATTCCACACCCGCTCCACCCTGGTCGAGGAGTCCTTCAAGCGCCTGCCTAACCTCAAGGACCTCGAGATAACCTACACCAAATGTCCCTACGACAACATGCAAGCCCTCAAGGACGTCCTCCTGGTGCGCAACCCGCGCAAGCGCGACACGGCCTCCCGCGCCCAAGCCTGCAAGAACATGAACGCCATCATCTCCGCAGTCCGGCACGTCTCCCTCTCTTCTCTCACAATCGACCAACTCCCGCTCGAGATCTTCCGCCTTCCCGACGACCGTCGCCACTGGTTCGACTGCTGCGCCTCCTCCTTCTCTTCCCTCTCCAAGCTCGACCTCACCATCGACCCTCCCGCAAACCTCATGCCCCAGTCGCGCTTCAAAGCCATCAACGGCCTCGGCCACGTCCTGCAGCTCTCGCCAAACCTAACCCACCTCAGCCTCTCTTTCCACACTTACCACGCCCCCCGCTCGAAATTCGGCTTTTCTTTCAGGGCCCTCCTGCAAGACTTCACCTTCGCGAAACTCACCTCCCTCAAACTCGAAGGCGTCTCCTGCTCCGAAGAAGACCTGCGCTCTTTCCTGCTGCGCCACGCCAAGACCCTCGAACGCTTGCGCCTCGGAGGCCGCGGGCTGGCGAAGCCTTATGAGCTTAGTATTGGAGGCGTGCACCTGCACGAGGGTTCATTTAAGAGTCTTTTTGCTTCTTTGCAGGGGAAACTGCCGAAACTGCAACGGCTTCATTTGGAGGGGGATCTTGAGGCGGGGGATATTCGCACGGGTGCTAGGGAGAGGGAGACGTTCAAGTTCCATGCTAGCGTGGATGAGAATTGGGAGGATGTTGAGGGTGAAGGAGACGGTTTGGGGAGGAGGGTGGTGATGCAACCGGGGAAGACGATGGATTCGAGCGCTTTGGAGAGGTATTTGATTCATGGCGGACCGTTTCCGAGGCTGGTGATGCCTGGCACGGCGTCAGCGTCGACGTCGACAGCCAGTTCGGAGGCTGGTAGTCCGAGCCCGAGTCCGGAACTTGGGCCTGTGACCGTGAGCGGTCCGGCGATGGTTGCGGGTCCGGCGACGGCTATTGCTGTTTGAGCGGACCGGACCAGAGCGTATCACCGCCAATGAAGATGGGGGTTCAATGGGATCGATTGGTGTCAGTGCTGGTTGGCCTCACGGGACTGCTGAATGCTCACTGCATCCGCCAGTTCGACTTCGATAATTGACGTCGCATCGTCTCGCAAATGGGCTGACGCCTCTCTGCCTTACCAAAGCACGCCATTCATCATATGCAGTTAGTGCTGGGAGGATTACTCATGCATATGATCCTGCGAATGCTCCGTTAGTGCTTCCGCCTTTTGGGGTACCATAGTCGTCGCCCCTCTGTCCTCGTTCTTCCCCAACCTCACTCAACATCAACAGTCGGCCACAGTCGACCGGCCACTGGCTGGTTGGCCTAACTAAACGCCGTCGGCAACTTACCTCACAACGACTTGCATCTCAACATCATTTAAAGAGGAAGGAGCAAATGGGTTCAGTGAGGGGTTGTTCAACTTCCAACTTTTATCTCCTCCTCGGCGCTCCGCCTTTTCGGCATTTCAAAGTTTCGCATATTTCACGTTTTTACAACTTCTACATTTCGCATTTCGCATTCACATTTCACAGACCTGGGCCTGGGCATTTTGGCAGCAACGGGCGTTCCAATTTTACCTTAACGAAGAGCATGATCATACCATACCCCAACAACAACATTTGTACAAACAGATCAAGAACAACAAACATACCCAGCGCCATCACATTCACGACATACTTTTTGTGCCCTTAGAGGGAAGGGGGCTTTAATGACCTTTTTTTTTTTTGGATACCACTTCAGATTCTTCTTCGATACCCTCACTTCGTCACAAGCATTATATAGACTTTTGTTTTGGACTTTGTACACCTCACTTTGGGGCTTTTTTTTTTTTTTTTTTTTACTTTGTACACCTCACTTTGGGGCGTTTTTTTTTTTTTTTTTTTTTTTTTTTGGCTTTTCGGACTTTGGACTTGGTATGTTTCGGATTGTTTGGGGCACGGAATAGGAATGGGATACCATCATGTGATACATTACATACCACATATTAGACTGACAGTGAATGAATACAAGCGATTGTATAGTATACAACCCCCGTTTCTCTTCCTGATTGACTGTGAACTTGAATGACGACCTTTCCTGTGAGCTTGTTCAGTTTTCACTGTTAGCACCGACGACCTGGAAGAACCGACATCACCATTTCTAGATACTTGAGTCTCTACATCTACCTAGTGTAGCTTTTCAAGGAAAACTCCAGGATCAGTGCATCAGCACGTCGGCCTTCTAGTATGGTTGGGCTCAACTTCCCTTACCCAACCCAACAGACCATCTCATAGCAAGGAATCACCACTTCGTCAAGCTCATCTACCTGAAACTTCCCTGATGATCATGTGTCTCGACATCTATTCTCCGGGATCAGTATCACGAGCACACGACACTACCTCTAACGCTGATGATCGCGATCAATCTACCTTCAACCGACCTGTGCCATGGAAAATAAGAAGCTCATTGACCTTTACCCCGGCCGGTTCCAAATATTCCACTTCGCAAGCCATCAAGCTTCCACTACCGATCTGGTCTCTTCACTCCTTCCAGATAGCTAGACTCTCATGCTCACATAACCGTCCCGGAGTAGGGCGGTAGGCGGGTATATAACCCAGCTCACTGAGCTTCTTTTCATGTGAGCTCGCTAGTGCAGCCGGGAGTAATGCGAGAGAGCTCTTCGTGAGCTGTTAACAAGTAAACTGGAAGCTGCCGGGTTCGAATCCGGCGCGGGTCACTTTTTTTGTCCCTTTTCCTGCTTTTCCTTCTTGGACATTTCGCCGTTTTGGTTGTAGTTCATCCGGTCGCGGGCAAGATCACGCTCTCAGTCCGACTGTTGACAGTCGACAGTCGATGGTGTCGTACCAAACCATCCATCTATCCACCCACAAAAAGTTGCTACAACCTCCAGGCACCGAGTAATAAGCATTGGGTATCAACATCCTCCTATGTCGGGCGTCAACAGTGAGCCTCGTGTATCCCTAACTCGTTAACTTGTACTACTCCAGCAATCAAGCGCCTGTTATGCTGTAGTTGAACGACATGACGTTCAACCATGAATCGTCCCTCTTTTGTTGATGGGAAGAAAATGGGAGAGAGTAATGGGTTATTGCTTAGGGTTGAAGCGGTATATAGCACGGGTGCGATCTGGTGGATCAGTGTGTGATTATTCTGTTCTTCCAGGCCCTCCCCAGCAGTGCTTGATACCAGACGTTTGTTCAAGATCTTCTAATCGAATCCCAGTCCGCATCATGGCCAGGGAATGCTTTCTCATCATGCATAAGCTGGACAACATGACTGGACAACATGACTGACCGCACTCAATCATTCCTTGAAGCATCATTCTTTCTCATTAAGGCAATGGAAAACGTAGATCTGGGAAACATCCAAGTAAAGGATATAGCGCACAGCTTATACGGGTCACGGGAGGACAAGAGAAGTAATCTGTTTCACCAATGGGCTGCATGGTGATCGTTTCACGGCGTTGAGGGGAAGGCGGTGATGGTGATGGTGATTGCTCTTTGGCTTGCCTTGCGCTTGCAGGACACTGCTGTGCTCCCATCGTGTGCCAGCATTTGATCTCTGGATAGGCAGACTGCTGCTTTTTGGTATTGGGTTTGATGCTGCCAGTTATATATGAGCATTTTTGGGATGATCGTCAAGACTTTGGTGCCCTTAACATCGTGTTGAAGGTGCAAAAGAACTCGAGCATTTTTGGGATGTGAAGACCGTCAGTCGTCCATCCCTTTGTACTAGGAGCCACTCACGGTCTCAAGCCGCCATAATTATCTCACCTCTCAAGCAACACTAGCCGCCTGCTACCTGCTGCCCGCTGCCTGGTTCTCGATGCCTACTCCCGCAATACAAATGACAGCGGCTCCCTCCCGCCTCTTTCCCTCTCTCGTTCTAATCTCGTCACGAACACCCGATCCCGCGGTAGTACAAGCTCACAAGCAAGCGGAGTGTTGCCCTTGCTGAGACACACTCAGTGCGGAGTGCGGAGGCGCCACAACCACAAACGGAAACCCCCTCAAGGCCTCAATAAGAGACAAAGCACAAAAGCAAGTTAAGAGACAACGGAAGTAATTGGATCGTGGCGTGGTAACTGTGTCGATGGTTCGGAACAAAATGAACGTGCCCTAGTAACCTAGGGGGATGTCCACGAAGGTAAACAACGGTCAAAGGTCAGCAGTCAACGGGGATGCAAAAAACTGCAGCCGCGGCGGCATCCTCGCCATCGACCTTGTAGACGGTGAGTACGGTGAGCTAAGACAGGAAGGATCTCCACTTGGCTAGACCCCTCCTCAATATAAAGAGTCGATGTCCACAAAACCTTGCCGAGAACGTCGAAAAAGGGTGTTGCAAAAGCGGACAGCTTGGACGGGAATAGTGTAGACGGGAAGCCGCAGGAAAGGACGGGAGTGGGAAAGCCTGTAGCGGGTAGAGGTAGCCTGCTCGACCTGGATGGATGTGGACACTTGGACTCGGACCCCAACTTGTTCCCCAACGACCGCGTCAATGAGCATGTTTCAAGGGGCGCACCACTTGGGCGGTGCAGATATCCGGAAGGATCGTCGGGGAGGAAGAGGGGACTCGTCGGAGATGTGAGAAGAGGAGCTCGGGAGGTGAGGAGTTTTCCGACTAATCCATCTGCGGCTTTTCCCATCTGCGGCTTTTCCCCTCGGTGTTCTCCCCAGTTGTGTGTTTTTTTTTCCTTGTTGTTTCCGAGAGATCTCGACAGTGTCTTCGGTAGCGTCGGGCGGTCAGACTCGTTCAGAGCCGTGGTCGAGGCCACGAGCTAAGCCAAGCTCAGGAACAGGAGACCAAAAGTGCAAAGATGACGACATGATCTCCGAAAATAGATCAAGCAGAACAATTGAACGGCGACCGGAAAAGCATGGCAAACATGGAAGGTCTTTGGACCACTGCAGCACTAACAGAAAAATGCCCCTGTTTACCCTTGCTGGGCAGCTTTTGGCTCTTTGGTGATTTGCTCCAGGGCAATTTGGAGCGGCAGCGCAAGTGGAGCGGACTGAAAAGTCGGGATGCCAAGCAGAAGGTGGCAGCTGCGAGTATTGGCAGGGGTGACGCTTTGGCATGCTTGGCCCTTTTTAATTGGCACAAGTTCTGGCGTCGGCCGGGCCCCCATTGGGTTGCATGAACCGCGATGCCGTTCGCGCGGTTCTGTTCCGAACCCGAGAGCCGGCAAAAGCGGTGCTTGACTGGACCCGAGGGCCCGACAACAGGCCCGGACCCAGCTGCCCAGCTTCCCGCCCAGCCCGTACCTGCCGTAGTGCTATGGGGCCGCCCAGTCGCCGTTGTGGACTGCAACTCTGGAAATGGAGGCACACGAGGTCACGAACGGGCGCAGCGCCGCAGCCCCATCCGTCAGCCCCCTTGGGTGACATGGGGTGTTCTCCATCAGCTAGAGGGATGGTCCGTACTCATCTGGGAAAAGTCCTCTTGTTCAGCTGAGTTGTGTAGTGTAGATATGATCGCTTGAGAAACAATTTGATAATGTTACAATGGAGAGGAGAAGCAAGCAAACAGTTTCGAGCTGAATGACAGGACCATGCTGTGAAAAAGTCGAAATAGGGGCTGAGATAGGTAGGTTCTGGCCCGGATTCAAGGCACAGACTGGAAACTGTTGCAACCCCGCGTTGGCGTTGTGGGCGGCTGTTAGTGTGATCATGGAGCGAGATGCGAGGAGGAGGGGATGTGTGAGGGGAAGACAGGACAATGGGGGACAAAGCTGGATATCGAGCAATCAGAAAAAGAAAAGACGAATCTGTTTCGAAACACCAAAAGCGGATTTCGTGTGATACCGCAGAAGCAAGCAGCTTGAAATTGTATGAGAGGGGTTCGCTCTTGCGCATCATATTTAAGGTTGGGGTCACGGGGGACAAGAAGGGAAAACATAACCCCAGGGAAATTGAGGATGTCTCTTAACACCGCCAGGAACCGAAAAGGTACGTACCTTTTTGTCTGGAGAGACATCCCGTCCATTCAGTTTCTCGATAACAACGCTCTTGCCCAACTTTGTAGGGAGAGACAACAACCAAACTCGCAGTTCTTGCGAGAAATGCAGACTTGCTCCTTCGGGCCAATCCTGCAAACCTTCATTAACTGCGTGTATTGTTACCCTAACAATTTCTAAGACGTGGACTGAGGAGGCGTGTTAAGGGCCCAAAATCCTCCTGCGCTCTTTAACACTTTTGAGACTTGGCATTCCAGATTGAGGTGAGGAGAGAGACTCAGGGGAGGATACCGCGCCGACAACGTTTTCTTTTTTCCTTGTGCAGCTCTCCTTCTTACATGCAGACGACTATCTGCTTCTGGGCGTTGGCAAAAGAAAGCTGTGTTATCAAGCTGACGTTGAGCTGAATGTTTTGTTGCGGCATAGGTACCTGTGGTTGATGTCGTTATTATCTCCCCTTTTCGTACTTGTCTGTTGTCAATTCGGGACAGGTCCTTGTCATTTCTTTGTTATGTAACCCCCAAAACAGATCCCGATCTAGCCCGGCACTTCCATCATCCATTGTCATTGTTGCCGTTGTCACAACCGTTGTGGTAACTTTTTCTCCATCACTTTCGCCGTCCATCTGTTGGTTTCTCTTTTGATATGGCCAAGGACTACCGAGGCCGGACTTTTTAAGATTTCACAGGCTCCTCCGACCCATCCGACCCAGGGAACAAGAGAAGAAAAATTCCTCGTGGTCGATTTGATCGACATTGGTTCTGCTGGGGCCAAAGAAGCCGACTTTTAGCAAGCCCTGTCAGCAGCCATTGCTGGCGGCCCCATCAGGCCCATCAGGCCCATCAGGCCCCATCCTCGCTGGTCTTGGGGATCCATTCCGCGGTGCCATCAGACTCATCAGAGTTCCATCGTGGCCCGGGGCCATCAAGATACTGTACGGGCAAAAGCAAGCCAGATGCCATTTCATCCAGCAGGAAATCCTTGTTCATAAGTGACAGTCTCGCCTCGTCTATCCCAGCCGATATTAATCAAAGGAAAATCCCTTTCTTTTTCTCTACTTTTCTCCGTTTGGTACCTGCGCAAATGTCTACCATTGGCACACCATCTTGGAGAGAGCCGACAACGACGGGATAGACGAAAGCGAGGAAAAAGACGAGACATTGAAACACAGGGCGGAACGGACTTTGCGATTGCGCGTACAACTCGACCGAACGAGCTGGCCTAACAGTGGGGAGGATCCACCAACCAAGATCGGGAAAAGACGCCCTAACCCACACCTGATCTCATCCCATTAAAGACACCACCTCACTGCCCGTGGACACAGCAACACTAGCACAAATCCCACGGCATTCTCCCTCACGATAGGACCAGTCACGGCAGACGACACGGCACCATCTTGTGTATTATCTCCCATCCTGGCGTCATTCCGTTCGCTACCGGTCTCGCTGCTCTAGCCTTGCTGCAAGCCCTTTTCCCATGTGTAACCCAGGACAACAGAGGTGAATCTGTTTCGATATCAACGACAACGACAACGACAACAACATCAAGCACGGCCTTTTCAGGTTCTCCTGCGTTGCCCTCCTTGCTTTTTCACTGAGACTCGGCTATTGGCTGTGACGAGATCATCACCCACGTCACTTCCAGGTCTCCTCCCATCGACCAGCTAACCAGCGTCCCCACCCACACCCACCCACCACATCAGGACAACCCACTGCGCACCACTGGCACCACTGGCACTGCTGGTGCACGCCCAGAACGCTAAAAAACATCCAATAACACCCGCTGAGGAAGCGTGCAGGCGACCCAAGGCGTGCGTCCAAGGCTCGACTCCTGCAGCTGCAACCGTTTCGCAGACCAGGTCCGCCAGCCTGTGTGTGGGCACTCATGCTTATCCAAGGCCGGCCTCCACTCAGACTTGGTTCTCTCGACAACTCCCTCTTCCAACTCGACATCCGGATTGAAGAAGCAGCAGGTGAAAACGCACGAAAGAGAGATCCGACCTTCAGGTTGGGGTCACTTTCCTCCGCATTTCGCCTTTCTCCCTACCTTAAGGGCGGAGTCTTCTTCCACCCCCGCCCTCCTCCTCCACGATCCTTTCCATCCCGTCTTCCATAACCGCGTATCAGGTCAATCCCTTTCAGACTTCGACATTGAGAAGGCCCCGGCTTCTCCAACTTCGCCATGCAGCGTGTCTCGGCCCTGTTCCCTTCATGGGACCGGGCAAAGCAAACACAACCCGTCAGCCCCAGGTCACCCAGTGCCCTGAATAAAGTTTTCGGATGGGGAGGGAAGGCAGTTGTGCCCGTCAAGACGACCCAGCAACCCACGAGCTACGATCGCGAAACATACTGGCCAACAACCCTCGACAAGGAATGTGACAAGGCCGCCAGGATATTAAAGTCCTTTTGCAGTACGTCATCTCTCCCTTCGCCAACCCAATTGACTCGTGAACATCAGCTAACATCACTCTACCCGAACAGTGGATGGATTTCTCGTAGAAGAACCACAAGAGCAAGACCCAAATACCGATACCCCATCAACACAAAAATCCGTCACGAAAAAGATCCCACCAAGGATATTACAAGATGCCGTCGGACTCGCGGTCTTCTCGTGCATGCGTTCGGGACTATGGATGTCGGGATCAGGCGGAGCCGGGTTGATCACAGCGAGGAGAGCGGACGGCACATGGTCACCACCGTCTGGTATAATGCTCCATACGGCCGGGTTAGGCTTCGTCATGGGAGTCGATATCTACGATTGCGTTCTCGTCATCAACAGCGTACGAGCTCTCGAACTCTTCACCCGTCCAAAGGTGGTTCTCGGAATCGATGTCGACCTTACCCTCGGCCCACTCATCGATGCAGACTCGACCGACAACGACACACGATGGAAGGACCTCAACGATACCGTTCTTACATACATCAAGGCCCGCGGCAAGCACCAACCAGTGCCCCTTGACGGATCCCTAGTCTCCGAACGCGGCAACGAGAACGTTCGATTTTACAACAGCGATGTCTCGGTTCTCGACATCCTAGCCGGCAACATTGGCAAGGAGATTCCCGAGATGCGCCCCCTCTTCGAGGTCATGAAGGCTGCTGAGGGACGGACGGATTATGACGCAGATGTTATGGAGATGCTCGCTCAGCAACCCGCCCCTAGTGATGCCGTGATTGATACCCCCCAGACATCGGTCCGACATTCGATCATCAAGAACCCCTTCGGTATCCCCGATGTCGACGACCCTGATCCGTTTGGTGTTATTGGCCTCGAAATGGCTGGCATTGAGATCAGAGAAGCCGGCACTCGTTTCCGACCCACCAGCACCCAATTCGAGTTCCACCCCAGTCCCAAGAGCCCGGCATTCGCCAGGTATAGCCGACAGAGCGGTGACATGTTCCCGTCAAGGAGTAACCGCGAAAGCTGTGTGTCAACCAGGTCAACAATGTCCCAAGCTACCATCATGACGGACGCGTGTACCCAAACAGATGTCACTAGCACTCCTGAGACAAGTTTCAGCCGCGCCAATAGTATGGACGGCCGAGACTCAAAGTTGTCGGATAAGCTCCCCACTGTCGTGGAACCAGAGCTTGAACCAGAAGAGATTGACTATACGCAGATCGATATGAGCATGATTCAACGATTCAGGCCGCTACCTGAAGAGGATGAGGAGAACGACAAGTTACAACCTGAACCCGTGGCCCACCTTGGTGACAAGACCGACGCGGAAACCACTGGCACCAAATCCACCAAGGACGACGCGAGCGAATATCCCGAAAGCGAGAAGAACGAAAGCGAGAGCGAAAGAGACGAAGACGCTGACGACGAAGAAGACGAGAGCGACGAGGATTTCGACGACGAAGCCATCATTTGCGAGGTTGCCACTGCTCAACCCGCCCGAAGCTCCATTCGCTCATCACAAATCACCCAAGTTATCCACGCCAAGGCAGGGATTGTTACCATTCCGAAGCGAATCCCTCCTCCGCTGCCTGCCAAGTCCCCAGCACGTGCTTCTAGGGGAAGCGGCAGCATCAGCGAGATCTCCTCTCTCAAGTCGCCCCTCCGTAACTCTTCCTTCTCGATGGATTCTCGCATGAGCGATACCTTGGCTTCTGCTGAAGCGAGTGAGGCGTTCGTTACTCCTCCCGCGGTTATGGAGGAGGTTGAACCCGCTTCTCCTGAACCTGTTAGGCGCTCTGTTCAGGGACACCAGAAGAACTCGTCATCGGTGAACACGGCTGTGGATCTTTCTGCCAAGCGGAGGGCAAGCTTGGAGACCTCTCCTGAGGTGCCCGCTACTCCGAGGACAGTCGATCTGACTTCCTCTGCGGAGGAGTCAGAGAGAGAGCCCAAGACACCCAAGACGGATGCTGGGTTTGTCAACACCACGACGCTCGATAATGAGAAGGCTGGTATTAAGGAGGTGAACATTGTCTCGGCCCACAGCGCTGAGGCCGACACTGTCGCGATTGTATGATGATCAGTTGGGACGCATACGGGAAGGAAACGGAAAACAAAAACAACTTCAATTTGGTGAATTTCAGTTTCACATGTAAGAGCGGGAATCGGCATAATGGAGAACACGAACTGGAACCGGTGATTGGTATCGGTCTACCTTCTAACATGGAAGACATTGGGAAAGCGGCGTTTCTGTTATTAACATTACATACCATTTTCATTGAACGTGTACCAAGGAACAAAAAGGGGCGGGCTATCATGGGTATGGGTTACCTCTAGGCATGCCAGTCGGGCTGGAAAGCAACGGACGGGTTGAATGGATGGGATCCAATTCAACGGATGAACGGAATATGTATTGGGCGGGTGGCGCAAGCACAAGCACAAAGCAGCAGCGGATCATGCATAATAGCGATCCTGCTCGCTCGCGCGGATGGCTTTTTGGACACTTTTTGGCCGTTGTTTTTAGCAGTATTCTTTTTTATACTCTACATTTTCTTGACTGCATGGTTAGCAAGCAGTATTTGCTAGCTTTGTTAACCTTCTGCACGGCCAAATCTTTTGGTCATTGCATCATTTCTTCTTGAACAGAATACCCATATATATTTTTTCTACACTCAACCTTATCACTGAAGGTGTGATCGAGTGGTGACCTCGCTCCAGGCTAAGAGAGAAAGATTGTTGAGCCTCATGGGGCAAGTGTGATAGTGGCTCATTCCATTCAGTACATTTGTCCTTGGTCGCTCAACTCTCTTACCTCTGGTATCCTCGCTGGCAGACATCTTGTATATCTTAAGTTCCCCGAGTTTATACCCAGCGCCAATCAACCAACCATTAGAATGATTTCGCTGTGCAGCCGAACACCATGAGTTCCTGAACGAGTGTCTGTCCGGCCTCCCGTCAGCCGTCTGATAACCAAACGAAGAACAGAACCTCTCAAGGTCCCGATTTCCGTTGACAGGGCAACCTGGCGGCACGTGCCTGCCTTTTTGCCAATCCCATTCCCTTCACTTCCACCTCACTTCACTTGCACTTCACCATGTTGCCTGTCTGTCGCTTTCCCCCGCCTTCCACCGCTTAAATTGTTCGACCACAAAATATCGAGACTCTTGGCTTTTTTTTTTCTTTCTTTCTCCAACCAACGTCCAACAGATCTCAGTGTGTCGCTATTTTGTCTTTCAGCTTCAACACATCATCTTCATTAACGCGCGGAATCCGCACCAGACAACCTTCTTCGCTTCATTGCTAGAAGCTTCAGCACCCTTATACGGCATTTTTGAAGACCTGCTTACTCGCGCATTCAGCCATGGAGATTCGTTCCAGGCAAGATCTGGTCGAGTATCTGCCCGATGATGCACCGTGGGCGAGCTACCCTTTGCATACTCTCCGTCTTCAAAGCGCAATCCGCTCTCTTGACCCTTCCGGCTACGAAAGGGACTTCGTCACTCGCCTCGAAGGCTATCGGAACAGTCATCCTGGCGAAAATCGTCTCTTGGCCTGGCGCATTCGCCAAGACCAAATTTATAAGCGCGAATTGGGGCACGCTTTGAGTCGCAAATACTATGTTGTCGAGGTCGAGGATAACAGCAACGATACCTCAATGGAGAAGCTATTCACCCTGTTGGACGCTTCCTCTGACAGCAAATTTTATGTCATCATCAGCAGGATTCCTCGATGCAGCTGTCCGTTCAGGGTAAGTTCTAGCCGTCCCTTCCCTCATCCAAAACCCTAATCGGTTACTGACGAGCCCTACAGCAAGAAGTCGGAGGCCTCAAGAACTACACCTGCAGCCATATTATCTACATACTTCACTTTGTGCTCAACTGTCCCGAGCCCCTGAAATGGCAACAAGCATTCCATCGTAAGGAACTCGAGGCAGTCTTCCGCTACAGCACTGCTTTCGAGTACACCCTGGACCTAGGCACCGACCTCCAACGCAACACCCAATGTGTCCTTTGCTTCCGCGACGTCAACGAACAAAACTTAGTAATGGCTTCTCAATGTTGCGGCTTCCTAGCTCACTCCCGTTGTCAGGAGGTTACCAAGACTTTTCCTTGTATTCTGCACTCTTCTGCATTGACCAAGATGGGAAGCAGCAGAGAAGCCAGCGTTGATACCTGGTTGTCTCGGCAGGGATCGTCACCTCTGAGGTTCTCCGATGATCAGATATTCAACAGTCAACCTCGGGAGCCTCATGAAAACGGCAACTACAAGTGGGAGTCATCCAGTGATGACCACTACTCAGCCATCAACTACGATGAGGAAGGCCTTGCCAACGAACAATCTGCAAACAGATCTGCTGTTGAGTTCTTTGAAGAAAGAAGCCGAGTTTCCCTTCACTCCCCCTCGGTCGCATCGTCAGCCTCCTCCTCTGCTGGCCCAGTGGCAATCAAACAGGAGCCTGAGTCTCCTTCGCCTTCTCCCCGGAGGCAAATGCCGTCAAGGGCCGCGAAGGAGGTCACTCGTGCCCGACCCGACGCCTATACGGGGTCGCCGCCCCGTAAGCAAGCGCTTACTCTGGTGCGTTCCTGGTCTCCAAAAGTCAGCACGACACCAATTCCCTTGCCGGTTATTCCTGGACTCCCACTGCTACAAGGACAGCCAGTGGGCGGCAGTCAACCGGCTCGCCTCCCGGTCGTTGAGAATCCAGTGCAGGCTTCCGTCATCCCGGCGAGTGCCCAAGGGAAGTTTGGGAGGTCAAGAAAAGTTGCTGGTGGCAGCCCGTTGCGCCACATTACGACTGAGGGTGCCTCTCCCTCCTCAGCTCCAGCTACTACTCGTTCAGTTTCGGGCTTTTCCGGATCGGCTATTTCACTTTCACGTGAGGAAGCCTCCCGTTCCTCATCTTTCCATCCGTCTCCCGCTCTCCATTCACCTCCTCTTAAGCATGAGGTCAACTCCGTCATCTCTTTTCCAATCCCTCCTACCGGAGCCACCTTCGCTTCGGTGTCAATCCCCGGTACAGAGATCGCTTCTTCGCTCGTCAACAACAAGAAGAAGAAGAAGACAAACCCAAAGAAGAAGCGGGCCGTCAGTACGACCCCAGCCAGCGCTGTCACAGACCAAGCACGCGCCACCGACGACCAAATCGCTGCTACTAGCACTTCCCCAGAGACTGCGGCCGGCACCACTGCCCACCAGTCAGAAGTCAGCGAGGTCAAAGCGTCAAAGCGAGAGAGACGTAAGGCACGACTCATTAAACGAATGTCCCGCCTTGAAGAAGACTCCGGAAAGATTAGAAAGACCAAGAAGTACGTTGAGAAAGAACTGGCAAGGCTCGAGAAGAAGAAGAGCAAGGTGGCCAAGAAGATGGCTAAGCTGCTGGAGACGGAAAGGGGTGTGTAGGGGCATTGTAGAGGTGAGGTTTGGGGAGGGGTGTGTTCGGTTATTGTACGAATTATGAGGAGATAGGGAAAAAGAAGGTTGCTGGAGTAGTTTTGTTGTTTGCGTCATGTCCTGGGTACAACGATATGAGAGAGAAAGGTTAAATGCCAGCATTGGGTGGCGTTAAGCCGTGTTCAGTGACGTCGTTCGTCATGGGCACGCTGGCATGGTGTGGGGATCAGAAGCATATTACCAAGCGATGAATGGGATTGACCGGCAGAGGGTGGAACAAAAGAAGGAGACATGTGTTGTCATCCTTTGTAGGGCAAAGAATGTATACCAAAGCGTACTGTAAACGTTTGATTGTTCGTGTCTTTTCTTTTTTTTCCCTTTTGCTGTCCGTAAAGCCTGAAGCAACAGTGTCGCCATGGTTGTTTTACGCCAATGTCATTCTCGAGTGAAGAAGCCTCATAAAAATAACGGAAGGAAAAGGAGGAAAGGGGACGAGGCAAAGTACAGCAACGAACACAGAAGATTGGGTTGTTAACAATTATCGACGGCCTTGGGTCATCAGGACTACTTCCTTCAACTGCGGAGTTGAAGACGAGTGTTGGATGCTATTAGTCCTTCTGGCTCGATATTTGTCACAGTCTGTAATTCCCGGCTGATGAAGAGCTGGAAAAGAGAACACCATGGACTGTGGGCTATAGCAGGCAAAAGGCAGGTGGATTGGACTCACTTCCTACCTCTAGAGGTAGGTACTGACAGGCAAAAGGTAGAAGCTGGAGGTGAGGGAAGCAGCTCCCATGGGCTCCTGCCGTGTTGAGGCCAGCCGGCACAGTCCCAAGTCGCTCCTTTCTCGTTGAACTCGTAGTGCTGTTGAGTCCATTCACTGCGCTCTTCAATTCTTTGACACTTCCCAAGTGAATGGAACTTTGGCACATGGACCCATTTTCACATTCACTTCCAATTGCCTGGCCTCGCTGTTCACATACTTCACCGGCTCGAGCTTTATGTTGACCAACCGTGGCTTGGCACCCCTTCACTGAACTCCCATTCACCTGCACTTCTGCTTGGTATTTATACCCTGCCCTATAATTTCTCCCATGCCCTCTCGTCTTCTACCCCAAAAATCATTCTTTTGCTATCGTCCACTTGCTCACCTCCAACTTTTCATACTTCATCCACGACCGCGACAACGATCAGAACCACGACGGACTAAACCAGTATCGCGAACAACACCAAACACTGATCTTTGGCTGAGATTCTGTGACTCCAGCGCGCAATTGACAGTCAAAATCCTTTTTGCAGTCATCGAACAGATACAGGCCTACGGTTCTACAATTGCTTTCAGCGCAAACCGAACATCAACAACGCCGACAACGAAAAGTGGCAAGCAGAGGACCTGAATCAGAGACCACTAATTGGAAAACTAGTTTGCCGTGTACATACCCAAGCGTGAGTAACACAAACCATTCTGAGTCTTGCAAATATTCCAGGGTATAAACATCCGCACGCCAAAGGCCGTTTCCAGCTGGACTAAACACTGATTTTTCCAGACAGTATCTCTGTCTTTTCCGTGGCCAACGGCAGTTTTCTTCGTATATACTACGATTGTTGAATTTTGAAAATCCCACGAGCATCGGGCACCAAGACAAGACCAGCTGCTTCATATATAGCGACGCTTCTCATCCGCGCGACCGCTTTATACTATCAACACAACACTTCGATCTCTTCGATATCCAAATCAGCCGACCGCCACCATGCCTGCCGAGCGCACTCTCGAGATTTACCTTTCTGATGACACCGCATGGTCCAAGCAGACGGTTGAAGTTCTCAAAGCGCAATGCAACAAGCGGGACATAGCTTTCACCATTGGCAATAGGAAGGAGCTTGAGGCACTGCTCAAGAACTACCGCTATACCCACAACCCGCCCGGGAAGGCTTCACGTTTTGGTGTTTGGCGCTCCAATGGCACCGATTCTGTCTACCGATCGGCTTTGGCCGAAGCTGAAGCTTCTACTCTTTGTCTAATCCAGATCAAAAATTATAGTGATCTGGAGTCTGGGCTTTGGGCGAAACACTTCACGCTGACGCCGGGTGGCGAAGAGAGGATCACCGTTGTTGTCAGCGATGAAGTCAACTGCAGCTGCGGAGGAAGAGGATACGGAAAGACTCCCACCACCAGGGGTTACACGTGCCCTCATCGGATATGCTCGTTTTCTTCCTATCTCCCTAATCTTGGTTGTCAACGACGCTAACCAGTGTTATATCAGATGTACTCCGTTACCTTTTCAACTGCCCAGAGCCGCTGCGCTGGCAGTCGTTCTTCCTACCGTCAGAGCTTGGCGAGATTTTCAGATTGAGCCATCTATACCACCATTTTAACACCGGCGGGTACCCAGATCCGTTTTGCGCCATCTGTTTTAAGCCTATGGAGAGTTTCATAGAGAAAAAGCAGTGTGGCATTGGCAAGCATCTGGTACACCGAACGTGCATGGTCACATTTCAGAAGATGAGAGGGCTCTCTGCCGGCGGATCCGAGTATGGCTGTGTACTGTGTGAGGATGCCGACGAGCTGGTGTGGGAGGTGATAATGAAGCGGTCGGCTGCTCGGAAGTCTGGCGCTTCTGAGCGTTCCCAAGAACTCACATTATCTTCTCCTTCGCCGACGTGCTCCTCGAGCGGACCCAACGTACCAATCGGCACTCAAATCACGGGTTTGTCCGTGGAGCGACAAGTCACAGCTCCGCGAGCCACAAACACTCACTCCTTGCCGGCTTCTACACCCACAGATATCGATCGTAGACTTGACAAGGACAAGCAAGTGGTGCGACCGGCTGTTGTCGAGTTTGTTGACTTGGGGCGTGTCGACGAGCTTATGAACTGCCTCAATATCAACAGAGATCCATCGGCGAGTGGAACTAGCAACACGCTGGATCAACTCGCTGACTCGGAGAGCTTGGCCTCCGATCCGCGCTCAACCTTTGCCTCCGAGTCAACTTCGAAATCTCAGCCACACGTGAAGTCAGGCCTTTCGGTGCTTGGAAGGAGAAAAGACACTTGGTGGATGCGTAAGGCCAAGAAGGTTTACCATGAAGCAATGCAAGCCAGGCAAGGATAACTGCCCTGAAATTTACCAACTTCTGAGTGTCCCCGGCTTCCATCAGCTACTTTGCGCTGACAGGCTCGGCGGGTCACAAATCTCTTGATCTGTAACAGCAGGATGACAGGATTACTTCTATCTATAGCTGAGTCTAGCAGTTGGCCATGGGCACTGTCAATGTCCGTTCTCTGTCATCTTTATCATAACCAGAGGTTGTCTCCCGTATCCAGTGATCTGTGTAAATCCTCATGTTGTTGAGCCTAGGCCCTCTCCCGAAGTACGTGTGCCCATGTTCCGTTTAGTGGCGAACTATATTATACCTCTTCCGATTTTCACTCCTCTGATGAGCGTCCTAGCCTCTGTCCACGCTGTCTGATAATAAAATACAATGTCTTTGGTCCTAAGGAACTCCCCGGGCTATCCTACACCCAAGTGCTGACACAGCTCTAAAATCTACTGCCAACATTCCAACCTCGCCCCAAACCAGGTTTTCGTTCGATGTACGCTGAAGTATCATATTTAAACCCCCAAATCTCCAAACCCCTCCAAACAGTACGGTCTGTTGCGTCAGCAGCCTCTATCCTGGGGATGCTGGGTTCTGTGTAAACACTCTTAACATCTGGGAGATATTAGGACTTGGATTGGATGAAGGCCAATCATCTTGTTCCAACGAGGGAGGAGGTTCTTGGCGGACTCATTGATGGGAACTTGGGAAAGAATGGGTGCTGGAGGCACGTGCACGGGTGCCATTCACGCAACACCACGCCACGCACGGCCTCTCTTCCTGGCATTTTAGCCCTCCAGACCTCTCCACAGATTCTTTCTCCTCCTAGCAACTCAATACAACCATCAACTGCTTCATTTTCGTTGCCTTGTGCGTCGCACAGGTTATGAGCCCTCTGAAGCTATCGCAATCAATCAATCCAACGTCGTAGAGGCCTACTGGGTTATCCCCGGGAGTCAACCTCCTCGTCGCTTACTCGCAAAAATAACTTTGTACCTCTCTCCTTCGGAAGGAAGAAGGAAATCTCACCAGGGCATACGGCATAACCCTAACTCCAAACACTCCAAGACTGCGAAACCATAGAGGCTGACGGCTTAGTCAGTCTCCGAGTGACGGGATCGAAACTCTCCCCTTCCACCTATTCATACGTCCTCCTGAGAGAGGTCAATAACTTTGATCTTCGTGTCGTACGCGATCTT